TAAGAGGTGCATATTTAGTGTGCAAATCTTTGGTGACGTCACGCTCTAAATTGCAGTGACAGGGAAAATGATAGGCACACATCAAAAAAATGCACAGGCATATAACATCATTTTTGAGAGGATAGAATTTTAACTAACATGAAACTTGATAAAAATAAATAAATAAATAACATTTTCAGGTTTTTTCACATTCTTCTGTTCATACACATGCCCATATTTTTACTATAAAAAAGAAAACAAAAAGGTTGTCAGGCTTTGTATGTGTTACTGGGGGGGGGGGGGTAAGGTTTCGTGGACATTTTCTATAGACATAGAGTAAAAAGATATGGTTAAGGTATCTGGAAAAAAGTAAAGGAGGCACTGTCTAAAATAAATAATCCGTCCTAGATTGATAATAAAAAAAATAATCTTTCCTTGATTATCCCCCCATGGTTTTTTTTCGACTTTAATTTTGTTATTTTCATTTACTCATTTAATTTATTATTTTTTAATATATATATATATATATATATTTTGCCTGTCAGACTCTTTCGTTGAAGAAGGAAATAAATAATATGTCCTAATCTTATTAGAAATCGATAATCTGTAAAAGAATTATATGTAATATGACTCGGAAAAATTTGTTACCCCACCCCCTTCAGAATCACATGGTCGTCCCCATACAGTATCAGTGCAAATCTTCAAATTTCTCCTCGATGTGTGTTTAGTAATGTATCTCGAAACTAGCATCTTGATGTAATGTAAATACTAGTAGATATAGAAAGAATCATTTATTGTAGTTTGTAGCTGTGCTGTGTGTCTAATGCATGAATGTTTCATTGCTATATAATGTAGTCACATATCTTTAATGTAGTCACATATCTTTAATGTAGTCACATATCTTTAATTTAGTCACATATCTTTTTATCCTAACACTTTGCACGCTTGCTTGCTATAGTAGCATATGCACCCTTTGATCCTTAATCACCCTCTGCTGTGTGCTAGCTAGCTTGTAATACAACTGCATGGTGAACGGTTTTGTGCATCACTGCATGGGTCATTAACCAGTCACTTTCAGCACAGAAAAACTGGGGGTTCTAGCTAGTGCTACGCCAAAAAACGTAATACTGAATACAGAGTTTATTTACCCTGTTTTAAATCATGGGCGTCCGGAAGGGGGGAGGGGGTGAACTTTTAAAAATCTTCACAAGTAACACAGATAATTACAAAATATACAGGTAAGTACCTATCAATAATTTCCAATTCAATCTGTTTTTAATGCAGGAACAATGTACTTCATAAAAAATTTGTTAGCTTTTTTAACAATGCTTTGAAAAAGAACTTCATCAAAATATATTCTGTCAACAATAAAACCTTTCTTGATAAAAAACACAAAATCGCACCACTGTTTTTTACACACTCCTAATTGTCCTTGTATTTGAATGTACCAAGAAGAATATACTTTCAATTGGACATTTTCATTTTCATCTAAACGGACATGATAGTGGTCATCCAAACATGCTTCCTTGGGAGTTTTATTTTGATGTACAAATGAACACTTTACTTCTAACAATCCTTCTCCACAACATTTACATTTCACTATGCCATCTGGGGAAGCTCCTAAATAAGGGGCATCAGGATCAATAAATAAACCACACAACCTGATTTCAGCATACTTATGACTTTGTTTATATTGTTCAAAATACTGATGCCTAGCAACAGGTTCATTCAATGAACCAAATGACATAGAAGGGGAACATCTGTTTGTCGTCTTTCCCATTATCTGTTTTGAAATATAATTTTCAGCATTATCTGTAAATCTGAAGCATTTAACAGATGAAAATAGTGATGCAGTTATTCTACCCTTTCTGTGTTCGAACCAATCAAAATTTTGGTTTTGACCTACAGTTACCTCTTCAATTTCACTTATTAATCTAGAATTAAAAACATCTTTCAATTTGTTTGTAACTGAATCAATTTCAACACTATTTATATCCTTGAATGCATCAGTCATAGAAGGAAGAACAGTCTCATTATCATCTTCACTGTCAAATTCCTTGGAGTATAATGTCTGCAAAACTAAAGCATCAGTACCTTTACAAAGATTATAAAAATCTTTTTCGTGAGATGGTATCTCTTGAGCTGGTACCCTTGGGTCATAATTACACAATGTGGGCACAATGGATGGTTGTTGGGACTGGTCAATCCTCAAATCTATATTGCTTATTTCACTTGGTACTGATTTTTTCCTTGGCTTATCCCAGACACATTGTATGTCTGTACAGGCCTCTGTACTTCGGTCCCTGTGCCTTTCACAAAAACTGGACAAAATCGACATACTCGCTCTCGGTATTATGCGAGGTTATAATCTGATATAAATATAAAAGAACATTTTATCTATTTTTTTTAAAAAACATATTTATGATAATTTTATATTGTTTTAAGTTTTGATTTCGTCATATCTGAAAGATACCTCCAACTGAAGTTCGTTAGCTAATTCACACAGGCGAACAAGTTCTAGTTTCCTCCGCAAACTACACTGTATGCCTCTTTCTTGAAGATATCTCTTTAAATCTGGGACTTGCCAGCAAAAGAAATCAACGTCCTCGTCCATTTGTCAACGTAGTTTATGATTATTGTACAGAAAAATGACTGAAAAGCTATCAATAATTCAATTTCATTTGTTTCGATGGTAAACAATGTAAACCGGAAGTACCCTTGTGGAACATTTTTGATGCGGCGTGACTAAAAGTGGAATAAAAACGGTGTTCCGGCATAACTCGAAACGCGGCTATTACAAAAAGTTGTAATGGAACAACGATATATCATAGCATTGTACATGTAAAATTCTCTCTGAAAAATTCCAAACAAACCAATCACCTTTCTCTTACTGACATATCCATAGACAAAAGTAAAAAAAAAGACACAGTCTCAATTTACAACAAAATAGGTTGTTGTTACATATTGTATCATATTGTATGATAACATACCTTCTACTTTTATTACAAACCTGTCATTTGTCCAAATATCGTAATATACAGATATATATTTTTACTTGCATCCATACACTGCAAGTTATTGCATATACTATTCCCCTATTCCATTATATTATATTTAGGTCAATACAATGTTTTTGAAATTAGATACCTGAGATGTAAACTATTTATCGAGGCCGAAGGTTGACATGAATATTGTACTTCAACGATGAGTAAATCATCGTATTTACCAAAAACCAGCAACATTTTTATTCTATAATTCAACTAATAGATTGATTGATTGATTGTATATTGTTTCACGTCCCTCTCAAGAATTTTTCTTCATATGGCATTTGCCGGTGGAAAGCTGCAAATGTTGTCCTTTACTCCGAACTCAAGGCCATTGAGCAGGGAGTGATCTTTTTCGTGCCAGCATTTACAGCGACACAGGACATCGGTTTATACGGTCTCATCCGAAGGACCGGTCTCCACGTCCCGCAGTGGGATTCGAACCTGCGACGTAAGGATTGACTCCTTTCTTCGCCTCCCTAGAGCAGACGCTCTAAGCACTGCGCCACACGGGCGACTTGATCTAATTAGAGATAAAAGACAAAAATTATTTGTGGATTGATAAATTAGTCTGTCCACTAATAGAGATAACAGACTAATTTATCAATCCACAAATAATTTCATTTTGACAGGAGATCAGGTGTAAGTAAGATAATCTTTTTAAACTTTTTTGTTTCAATTGTAATTTCCAATGTATTTGTGTTGTGGTCCAATATACAGAAAAATCTGTCCTTATGTTCACTTGGGAGGTCAAACGAAGGCGAACATAACATACTGTAAAATCACATATTTCCGAGAGGTAAAATTTTCATGGTTTGTGGAAAATATATTAGCATATGGTTGATTTCGTGGTTGAAGAATTTTTAAGCTGTAATATATGTGAAAAAATTGCATTTTGTGGCGGACATAAATTTTTGGATCACTTTATAGCTTGAAAAAAAATTAACAAAAATTAAATTAAAATGAATGATATAACAGTAGTATTTTTACTACATTGCTTGATTTCAGCCAATCAGAGAATAGAGATTTGCAAGTAATAAATCATGTAACAAAAAGAAATCGTTTTCACTGCTCAATTATCAGCCTTTGTCACAGACAGGGTCAATGTACATGTAAATTCGCTTAACATATCCATGCACGGACGATGTACATGTACACATATCAATGACAAAATAAAACTGCGTATTTAGACACAAATTCAAAGTGATAATTATGATGCTTTTAAATAATACAGCTACAAAACACAGTTGTGAAATCATAATATATCATGGCGTATCGTCTTTCTCATGATATTTCAAGAGAACAGGGGACCAATTCACTGATCACGTATCTCAGAACAACTCCTGTTCAAATTCAGGTAAACAGGATTCAAGTAAAGATCTTATTTTTCTCATGGAGATCCCCGACTCTACCAGCAGATCAGGACGTTTCATGTCTTTCTTTTTGAAATAATTATAAAATATTTTGGGGTGTCCATGTAAAAGCATCCCGTACACTTTAATGGTGCCTTTATCAACGATAGTGAGAGGGGCACCTGAAGCACCATGAGCAGTGCTGCTGGAGCTATGAAATAAAATTTTGTCCTCAGATATAACACACGGGGCATAGTCATCTATTATATCGAGCTCCTTTTCTGGCCACTCCTTTTTAAAGAAAGCAATTCCTTCTTTTTTTAGTTCAGTAAGTTTTGTTTCGTTGTCTATGATTGTATATCCAGGATCATGCTGAAGTGGGATTCCATCAGGATGACCAAACACGTGAATCTTTTCTTCAGAAATGTTATATTCCACTAGATTAAAGAATCTCGGTTCCGACTCTAGCTCTGCAAGCTCTAAAATTAGGACATCATTTTCTGGAGATGCAAATGCTATATCAGATTTGAATTTGGCAATCCTTCCCACTGCTCCTTCCTTCAAAAATTCAAATTTAATTTCATGTTGCTCGGTTAAAATCGACGCTAGTCCCATTACTCTACCTGTGAAAAATACGGGGAAAAAATCACTTAAAAATATTTTGTATTAAAATACAACACTTTCATTTCTAGCGTAAAATTATTGTAAAGTGCATAAAAATTGGAATGGCAAAATCTATTTTCTTATTTCAACGGGCTTATTGCATGTTTTACCTCTTTTGGAATTAAAAGTGTAAATTATTCTTTATTGGCACCGTTTATGTGTGTTTTACAATGAATATATCGCGGTAAAGAAAGTTAATATTCATGACTCAAATGAAAACTTTGATTCAAAAACCAAAGTTACAAATGTAATTAGATAAAAATCACATGATGCAGTGATTCCAATGCCTTATCTGCCTTTCAAGTTCTTCTCACTAAACAATTGCGAAACAACCTGGATTTTCTACTTTCTGGTAGATCAAATAAATGATTTTACAATATGACATTTAACATCAAACCTTAATATGTGTGAATAGACAATAAAAAAAACTCTTTAAAGAAAACTCTAAACAATGAATAATATCATCGTCGATAGCGAGGGAAACAGGGTGAGGGTAAAGAAATCCACTGTTACAATGCAGTTTTATTTGTCACCATATTTTATAAACAATTTTTACATCATATAGCATTGTTATATTTTGTTGTTTTCATAGATTATGCAATTATGATATCAATTTAGTCTCTGTCAGAGCGATAAACAACCTTGTCGTCTGTATCAGCTGTTCCAGTTGGCGGTAATAGGATGTGAATTTATACCTATGGAGATTTAATTTGCACAACATCGTCTTAAAAAGCCTGGACTATCTTGATCGTAAGTTGTATTTAAAGCTGAAATACCGCAAGTTTTTATGTTATTTACTTTCTAAAATTCCCTTGCAGCATTTATGTATTAACATATAATTTACATGCCTTTTCAAATTATTTTTGTACAGTTCTTTTAAGTCTCACGGCTGTTTTGATGAGTATTCTAAAGGTTAAACCCGTTTATAATTTCGTTCTGAAGGATTGTATGAAGTGTAGGAAAGTAGTTAAGTTTTTGTAATTAATATCTTTATATTGATATTTTGGGAAGAACTAAAATATTTAAAATTGACATGCATAAAGAAAGACCTTTCTCCTTGCAAAGGGAGGATTACAACTTGATGAATTAAGTCCCAGTTCCTCTAAAATGCAATTAGATAACAAGCCTTAAAAACATTGTCTATGTTGTTGCACGCTTTTTATTTGATAGTGAAAACACGTTTTCTATGCTTCACGATGGAGAAAATAGTCAGGCTTAAAAGTGATGTCAATTTACAGGAGTGCGGAAAGAAAAGAAGCATGTACTTTTAACATTTCGAAAATGTTGATGAACAAGAGGCCCATGGGCCTTATAGGTCACCTGAGCATTATGCAACAACTTTCCAGTAGTTGAATTTGATTCAAGTTTTGAGCCAGATGCTATGGCATTCACAATTTTGAAAGAAGCAACATTCATCATCATAACTATACACTTAGCAGTTGCTTAGGTTGGTTACTTAATACACATACGCAGGGTAGGGGAACAAAAAATACATTTCAACTCATTAGTAGTATTCAGCTATAATCAGTAGTGACCCTACCACAAATGAACCCCTGACCCTAAGGCCTAGATCAGCACAATGCACAATTTTTGACAAGGCATCCTTGCTTTTCAAAAATATTCGATTACTAGTAATATCGTCGAAGAAGCAGATTTCAAACCAGTCATTTCTAATACATAGGTACAGCCTCCTCCTCGCAGGGGGAATAAGGAAACATACAGACTAAATCAGTGCTATATTATGATGTCATAGTAGACTGAATGACACCAATTTAAGAACACAAGTCTTGTTATCATTTAGAGATGTGTTATTAACTCTAGAAAATGAATAGAACCGTGTAAACAATAAACGCAAATAAAATGTTTTTATTTTGATTTGCTATGTAAGTCATTTTGAGTACAAACTACCAACGATGACGTCATATGTGTATATCAAGTAACTTGGCCTTGGGAATTGTTTATGTCGTGAATTTGGCTAACACAACAGGTACAGTTCCTGAAACGTTCTACTTTCCCACCTGAACCGTGAACGAACGCAGAGCGAACGGTGGGTGAACGATGTGCGAACGGTGAACGGTGAGTGAACGCAGAACGCGAACGGAGCGCGAACGCGAGCGCAAAGTGAACAGTGAACGCAAGATGATAAATTTATTTGGAATGCCTCCGATCTTTTCCTTGCACTGAAATTATTCTATAATTCTAATTTCAGGTGCTTAAATATAAAAAAACAAGTGATAAATAAATAAATAAAATACATTTTTGTTTTGTATATATATTTACATGTACCTATGTTTTTAAATCGATATTTATATAATACGATTTTATTTGCCGTAAACGTGTATTTGTTTCCGAACGCGTGTAGATTAAATATAAAATTAATCTATAAATATAGTGAATACGCTTATACTTTTCACAAATAAAATAACGTGGACTTCTGATGATAAAACTACTACTTATAGAATAAATCAAATACATTGTACGGGGTTGAAACAAACATATAATCTTTCCGAGCCAAAGCAATTCTCAGTAAGATAACGGATTTTATTCAAATTCACAATTATCTGTTGACATTGACTGTTATCGTACTGCATAAAAATTATTGTTTTATTTAAATTCTAATGCAAAATATTCTATATTTATTGATGTGCCTTTTGCATTTTTATGACGATTATTTTAGCTAACTTCTCCATGTATCTTTAGACATTTCCCGGCCGTGATTACCGAGGTATTCTCGGTCAGTCAAGATGTTGGAAAGTGACATTCAAATTATTTGTAATAAATCAAATTTTCAGGACTATATAAGCATAGGCGTAGTCACAGGGGGGGCAGCGGGGGCACTAGCACCCCCACTTTCAGATCTGGGGGGGCAAGAGTATGTTTGTGCCCCCCCCCACTTTTTAATGAAAAAAAAATTGAAAGTAAGTTGCCTTTGAAAAAAAGTTGGCCGTGCTAGTATCGTGCTTGTCCTGTCAATCAAAATCATTCGACACTGTGCAGGTGTGGAAATTGCGTTTCACCGAACATGCCGAAGGCAAATAGTCACTTAGTATTGCAAGAAGTTTAATATTTTTTCCTATCATTTCTAGATCTGATTTTAAATATACTGAATGGCAAACATATATTTAAACATATGTTAAGGTACGGGGAAGGAAGAAATTTTTCTTCTTTAAGAAAATAACAACTTGAGTCATGTTTTTATGAGTAAAATGACTAAAGTTAACCGCGTAATTTTCATTGAAATTCTCACTTAAATGGGATTCAAAGAGAAAAATATTTGTATAGATTAATAAGGATGGTGTAAGAGAAGTATAATGTCGAACACCATAGAGGGTTTACAATTTCTTTATATTTACTTTAAATTTATTTTTTACATCATTTTCAATTAAATAAGACCATAAAATATATACCAATCCAGGCATCCATTTTTTGTTTGTATCATCTGTCCTTAATACTAGACTATTTTAAACAATTCATCTTTTCTAAATATTTAAAACCACACCATCAATTTAATTACCTCTAAAGATATTAAATTAACTGAATATTTGTAGTACTGTTCAAAATTTGCAAACCTACATGAAGTTAGAATACGTGTTACTGTAGAAATATTTTTTTTATGTATTCCTGTCCTGTAAAAGACTCGAATTAATTATTATTCATCTGTTAATAATTCGTCCTCTTTAAATTACAACAATTTGATGCCGTGCGTGAAGCATTTGTACATTGCCCTTTTTCAAAGTTAATATTTTAGCATCGTTCTACATACATGTAGGTACTTAATGTATTATTTTGCAGGAAAATGTCATGAAATAAGTAACTGAGTTATAATAATAGAAATATAAATATCATAGTGTAACGTTCTTACAAATGTACAAATGATATATGATTGAGTTCGCTTAGGTTTCCTTCCTAAGAATCACGTTTATTATATAAAATGAACAAACTTCAATAGCAAAGGCGAACAACTGACTGAAATTCACTATATATACTTTTTTCCTTGGTCCTACCTGGATAATGATTAGTAAACTAAATAACAACGAACTATAACGAAGGAATCACTTACAATCAAACCAAATAATCAAATATAAAATTATCTCTGTAGCTGCAGACTGAGTGGTATAACGAACAGTTCTGTTGTTTCCCGACACAGTCTGCAACTACCCTAAACTACCCTAAACACACCAAAATAATCACAAAGTAACATTATCATATTAACATGATTAAGACACACAAACACAAGCTAAAGTCACCAAGACACCATAGCTACTAACAGGACACGACTTTTGGTAAGACACAAGCTAAAGTCACAGAGACACCATAGCTACAGTCACAAAGACACTAGGGAACTGGGTCCCTGGGCTGAGTGGTCTAACTAACAATTCTGTTGTTTCCCGACACAGCCCAGGTACCCTTCCCAAGTCACCTAACTCCAACAAGAGTTACACCAAAAGTAAACGAAACAAGATTGATCACTGTATTTATACTATTTCTCCTATGCCTAATTGCTACTCATTGGTTAATAAATTCTAATGATTTGGTTGGCTAAAATATCAACTCTGATTGGCTATTTATAATATGATTTGATTGGGTGATTCAAAAACCTATTTCAATCCACTTAACTAATTCTTATTCATTACAATAGATAATTTTTGCAATGAAATAATCATTCTTCAAACACGATATCTAAGTTATCTAATTTAAAAAACATGTAAATCCTTACCATAAAAAGAAAAAGTCCTTTCACTTCGGAGATCCGAATGACAATGAAGACTGAACGATAAGTGAACGGTAAACGCAAGGTGAACGGAAAGTTAACGGAACGAAGAGCGCACGGTGAACGCAGGCTGAACGAACAGTGAGCAAACGGAAAAATGGGAAAGCATAAGGTTTCTGGGACTGTACAGAGATACGTAAAATGGAGTTTCAAAGGAATATTGTGTGAAATTCATGTGTATTTCAGTTATCTAAACGGGTATGCAAAATCAATTTCAACGATTATATTCTATTTCGAAGACAGTCAGTTATATACGTAGCCCGGCCGGCCTTTTCACTGTCATTCATGGCATAAATAATGCGACAGAACAACAATAATCTGGATATTTCAAACATGAAATGTGTACAGAAGGAAAGTTTGCCTTTTGACAAAATTAGAAAGTGCTGCTAGAATACCGAGTGAAGCGGGGTTTTACGAAAAATCTTGCTTCACATGTGTTAAATTCATAACATAGGGCAGAGTTTCGTACGAATATGTGGAATAATTATTTTACTCACAGGAAAGTGGGATTCTAGCAACACTTTTTATGAAAAATAGATGTTTTTCAACTATATTATTTAATCAAAGACAACACCAAAATTGGGTATTGTTGCTCTGTTAGCTTTTTTATTAAGGAAAAGTTCGCTATAAATTGAAATCACGTGATGTCGTGGCGGTGGTACACGTCTTTGTGTTAGACACTTTTTTATCTGTATGCAATAGTTATATGTTTTAACAGTTTACGTTTATCAGCGGTTTTGGTAATTTATTAAACTTAATTTTCTTAAAAAGTCTAAATTTCCGGAGAAATGACTAATATGCTTCCATAACATACTCGAGGTGACCCTGGGTGCTTAAAACTCACAATCAATTCTTAAGGTCATTGCTCATCATGTCCTTGTCCTTGTATTTACATAGAACAGGGAATGTTTTTATAAAAATTCTTACTGGAAAAAAATTAATTAAATGTGTTTTTAAAAACGATTTAAGCTGGGTTTTTTTTTATAAAATGCAATCTTTCCAGTGAATGCAGATATCACCCAGTCTGGACTTCAATTTCTAAAACAAACATCAGTTACAGACAAAGTATTCATTAATCTTAATGTGACAGATAAAGATAAGCCTCTAAATTTTCTGCAACAAGCACGATAATTAATCCAAATTAATTAATGCAAAAGTTAAATAACTCTAACAAAAAATCACAGTGGAGAACAGCGATGTACAGTGCCTGTCTGGCACGCGTACATTGATCAAAAGTACTGTACTGTGCTTTACAGAGGTTGAGTATTGTACGTGTCTGTGATGCACAATGTTGTACTGTGGAGGCGTACAATGACAGGCAGTGGTGTACTGTGCTGTACAGTGGGGGCGTACAGTAATGTACAGGTATGTTCAAAAACTAACAATGAATCTGTGCTGTGATTAACCGAGGATTATAGTAGGTACAGGGATTTTTTGTACAGTGCTTAAACAGAGAAAAGCAGAACTTTGCGTTTATCAGTATCAGAGATTTTTCAGAATATCAGGGAATTTTAAGTTCAGTAGTGTTGGTTGAATCATGTCACAGAGGGGTATGCATCCTTTGTAAACCTTCCAAATCTATACATAAATAATCCATTATCTAACACATCAAACCAGATAATATCAACATTTGACTGCGTTTGCGAAGAGGGTCACAGTTAGGAAGATATAATTTCCAAATTTTTGATTTTAAACCAAATAATATAAAAATAAGTAGCATCAAGTGAATTTCCAATTTTCCGTATATGCTCTTTGACATGAAATCAACTTAAAGGTATAAAAACAATATTCATTTAAATTTTGAAAAACTACTTCATACATTATGGAAGCTGACGATGAAAAAGCAAAAAATATTTTCATTTTTAATAGAAATGATATGTTAAAAAAGAAAGATCAAAAAGCACAGTTACCTTTCCTCTTATGGTCTAATGATGGAATGAGGTTAGATATATTCCAACTTCCAGTCACCGGCAATTTGTCTTTAGTCCATTCTATCATTTTTCTTTCTTCTTCAGTCAACAATTTATGTACTTCGCTCCAAAGTTTCTCTACAAAAAAGTCTAAAAAGTCAGAATTCAGAATATTTTCCACCTTACCTACAACAAAACACTTGATGAATTTTTCATTCTTTTTTTATAACTTGTATTTTTTGCATCCATAAAATATAAGAGTTTCATCGGTCACAACTGTGTAAATGTGATCCTTTGCTCTTTATCAACAGATTCATTTCCTCTTACATGTACATAGTCATATGTTAACGTTTGGTTACATATAAAAGCATCAACCCCTCGCAAGAAATTTTGAACAAACTTCTTTATTAATATTGATAATAAGATACTGTCTGTTATGCGTCGTTGTATTGACTTTTAATTTTTCTAATACATGTTTATATTATCGGCCATAAGAAAGATCGTTCCATGATGAAATATTTTCAGAAAATTTAAAGTAGAGTGCTTTAGATTTATATAAATTCATTTCTAATAATAGGATTTCTCTTTCATTTGAAAAATATATATCACATCTTTAAAGCATCCGAATGATAGAACTGCTAGTCATTTTGGGTGATATCAAAACATAATTTTAATAGGGACCATAGATCACTTTTTAAAAGAATAGGTTTGTCATTTTTTAACTTTTCAAAGACTTGATAATTTTTGCATTGTATTTAAAAGGATGTTTTGACCTTTGTGCTTAATATATCTCACAAATACGAGTGTTGTTCCAGAAGTTCGTGGATTTTCTTTCTAAAATTTTATCGCGATTTGATGAAACCAAACAACAGGCATATTCATAATATAGAGTCATAATGCGACAATATTGGAAAATTTTACAACTTTCCAATTACCAATGAGGTTCACACGAGCTTTCTGCAAATGGATAGTTGTGAAACCCGGGAGAGACTTCGACGTGACGTCTTAGATATGTCACGTCACGTTATAGATGCAACTCGCCCTCATGTCCAATTTGAATTCGTACTTCTACAAAAAGCTGTCTTTTTTAAAAAAAAAAAAAATTTCTCTCAAAAAAGCTTGGATATCCTCTCGCACCAATTTATCTTCATTTTTCACTCATATTTCAAATTACTACCCATCTTTCCATCCGATGTTTCAATGATGATCCAATTTCAGTAGCAATGTCAAGAACTGTGCTGCAGTTGACAACGTCCATTAACGCTTTTAATTTTTTTAAAGGGGATCTGCACCTAAAACAGTCTCTTCAAAAATCCTCTACACCTTTAATCAACTTCCATGGCAGTTCTATTCTCTTAAATTTCTCATGCCACCGAAAAACAAGTAACTAAATGCATTTTCACCAAGCCTTTGTTTATTATATACGCGTTTAAGATAGAGTGATCCTGGATTTTTCACAAAACGTATGACCTGACCGAAATTTGACGTTGTCTAACAACTAAAAGATGAACAATAAATAATTAATTAATGAACTTAATATCCAGTAAAACTTTCAAAAAAAAGGTTTATTAAAGACCAAGCAATCGTAATAATGACATAATTTTCGTTTTATATACCACACAGGCCGGTTTAAATATCATTTCACGTATTAAGAATTAAATGAAAATGAATGTGTTAATGTCTCCCCCGCATTACCAAACAACCGTTTCTATGGCAACTACCATATCAAAGATATTTAAAATGTTTTTAAATTTAAAATATTCATCAAGTGTCTATATTTTCAATTGTAATTTTCAACCAATTCAACTTAAAAATGAATAAAATATAAAAAAAATTCTACGAACTTTAGGATCAACCCTCGTATGCATCAATAATTCCTAATTTTTCTGCATAGACATAATCTGATTTAATATTTTCCCTCGCCTAAAGATAGTAAAAACCTTATCAGTTGATAGAATCGAGTCTTTAAAAGCGAATATCACAAACTGTAAATACCCTTTCAACGAATGTATTTTGAAAAATAAAAGAAGAATGTTAAATGAACTTTCTTAAAAGACTTATTTGATCTATTGCTTACGAAAGAAGATGGTTTACGATGTGAATTTTATAAATGCTTCGGTAACATATTGGCTCTTTCTTCTATCAGGTATTTCTGTCCATTTTTGACAATAGGGAGCTGAGTTTTACTCAATGTACATGTGTATCTCTTGTACAGTTTAAAGTCAAAGCGGAGATAAAATGTTTTAAGAATAAATAATACAAACTTTTACTTAAGAAATCAAATTATCTTGTTGTGTTCAGAAACCTTTTCCGTAATGTAGATCATTTTACATTTTTTTCTAATTGACTTTCAAATGTAATAAATATGGAAAGAAATGATAAAAGATGATTTAAAAAGTTTATAAGCAGTCTTAAAATATGGGGATATTGTTAATGAAGAATTACATTTGCAGAAATAAGGAACGAACTGGGTACCTTTCCCACACATAAAAAACAAAAGAACAAAATCATTTACACTGGAAAAACAACTTTATTCAACCAGGTCAGGAAAGGATGTCTCCTCTAATGTCAACAGGAAATTTGTCTGAACAAATATAATTATTATGCCCACGGATCGAAAGATCGGGGGTATATTGTTTTTTTCCTGTCTGTTTGTTTGTTAGTCCCACTTTAACCTAGCACATAACTATTGAGTGGTTGGTGCTATGGCTTTCATAATTCATAGGTGTGTTACTTGTGACATGACCTTTCTTTGGGTATCACCAAATTTGACCTCTTGATCTTGACCTTGGAGTTTGACCTACTTTTATGTTTGTTTGTCCCCCAACTTTAACCTAGCCCATAACTATTGAGTGGTTGGGGCAATGGCTTGCATAATTCATAGGTGTGTTACTTTTGACATGACCTTTCTTAGGATACCACCAAATTTGACCTTTTGACCTTGACCTTGGAGTTTGACCTACTTTTATTCTAATATGCTATCAACTTTAACCTTCGCCATAACTTTTGAACAGATCGAGATAGCGACTTCATATTTAAAATGCATACTCCACTAAATAAGCACTTTCAACTGACACCAAGGACAATGACCTTTTGACCTTGACTGTGACCCATATGCTAAAAATAGATTTTTCGAACTTTCGGTATAACTTTTGAACCATAGGAGATAGAGACTTTATATTTGGTATGCCTACTTCACTAATTAGGTGCTATCAAACGACACCGAGGTCAATGATCTTGTGACCTTCACTGTAACCTTTATGCTAAGAATATCTTTTTCGAACTTTGTTACGGCCGGGGGCACAGTGTTTCACAAACACATCTTGTTTTGTAGAGGAATTTTGTCCGAACAAAAATAATCATTTTCGACAAAATGTATTATACTTGTCATTTCTTTTTTTTATTCAGACACCTGTAATATTTTGCTTCGCTGAAAAGAAATCAACTTGTTAATAAGTAGTCCTCATTGAAAATGACAAAAAACTTTAAAGTTTTATAACCTCACAGAGCAGCAGATAACGATACAATTTTGCGTTCTGCTTAGGAAAAATCCTGATTTGTCTTTTAAAGGCATATATAGCGTAACTGATCAAAAAAATATTTTTTTTGAAAAATGCAAAATTAAGTAAAGAAATATATATAATACATTTAAATTAAAACTTTTCATACAATTCTGTACAAGGAGAACACCTCGTTTTATCTAAAAATACGATTTTATCTTCTCTGTAATGTGTTATTTTAATCTTTTGTATTTTCTTCCGTATCGGAGAAAATTCTAAGGAACCAAATTAAATTGTGATATCTTTATAACGTAATTTTGTAATTTACGGAAAATTTCTATCTTTATATAAAGTAATGATACAAATAATAAGTTCTTATAATTTTAGTATCATAATTTTTATTGTACACACGCCATATATGGCATTACGATGTTTGATGAATGAAAAAATGTTAAATGCTAATTGTGCAAGTGGGGACCAATAATACCTGTCAGGCAGTTTTTGAGTAACTGCAGAGATTGTGTGTTGGATGAGGACAATCCGTGAAACAAGAGGCCCATGGGCCACATCGCTCACCCGAGCATTGTGGCAAGGAAAAAGTAGAAATTGGTTTACTATTGAAAAGATTAAACCTAAAAGTTTTGCCCAATTATTTGAACAAACTTGTTCTATATATTTCTATATAAAACTTTGATCAGCCATTGTGGTCCCGCCCTACCCCCGGGGGTCATGATTTGAACAAACTTGAATCTACACCACCTGAGGATGCATCCATATAAATATGAGCAATTATGACTTTGCTATTCTTGAGAAGAAGATATTTAAAGTATTTTCCCATATTACTAAATAAAACTTTGGTCGGCCATTGTGGCCCCGCCCTACCAAAGGCGGGTCATGATTTAAACATACTTGAATCTACACTACCATATAAATATGAGCAATTATGGCTTTGTTGTTCTTAAGAAGAAGATTTATAAAGAATTTTCCTATATATTTCTATATAAAAATTTGATCAGCCATTGTGGTCCCGCCCTACCCCCGGGGGTCATGATTTGAACAAACTTGAATCTACACCACCTGAGGATGCATCCATATAAATATGAGCAATTATGGCTTTGCTGTTCTTGAGAAGAAAATTTTTAAAGAATTTTCCCATATATTTCTATATAAAACTTTGATCGGCCATTGTGGCCCCGCCCTAACCCTGAAGGTCATGATTTGAACAAACTTGAATCAACACTACCTGAACATGCTTCCACATAAATATGAGCAATAATGGCTTTGTTATTCTTGAGAAGAAGATTTTTGAAGAATTTTCCTATATATTTCTATACAAAACTTTGGTCGGCCATTGTGGCCCCGCCCTATACCGGGGGGGGGGGGGGGGGCATGATATGAACAAACTTAAATCTACACTACCTGAGGATGTTTCCCCATAAGTTTCTTGGCACAGTGGTTCTTGAGAAGAAGATTTTTTAAACATACCACCAAATTTTCACAAATTCTCAATTATCTCCCCTTAAATGAGGGTGTGGCCCTTCATTTGAACAAACTTGAATCCCCTTCACCCAAGGATACTTTGTGGCAAGTCTGGTTGAAATTGGCCCAGCGGTTCTTGAGAAAAGTCGAAAATGTGAAAAGTTTACAGACGGACAGACAGACAGACGGACAGACAGACAACGGACAGACTGGTGTCTTCAGCCAGTGTGTATACCTTGTGCACATTGGTGATCTTACCGACCATCGAATTAACATTCGGGCTTTTGATGACTACCGCATATGCTAACATGATCAAGAAGCAATCAAAGCGTTTACTTTTAATTCATAAGAATATGTCATAGATATAACCAATCTGTCAAATAATTAATAGTATAAACCATGCCTATATCGTTATAATTTTGATTCTAGAAGGGGGGATTTCATTTCACGATTACAATTTTAAAACTGGTATGTCAAAACACGTTAGTATACGTCTTCCAACATTAAATTTCAAGAAAATAAAGCGACCTGCATTTGAAGTTTCACGGAAGTTATTCAATCAAATAAATAATATTATTTAAAAAAAAAAAACAAACAGTTACGGTACGGTATATTAACCAGTTTCAGAGAGGAAATTAGTAGGATAATAACATCTTGCTTTGCATTTAATATTTGAAATTATTAATCCCGAAATAAAAAAAATACGATGAAGGCTATTCAATTCCTGTCTCACCTAAGCTGTCGGGGAATCATTCTCGGTCCGAAGCTCTGCATGCCATTATTTTTTGCATACCCTGCATTAAAATTACCTTCGATTTTTCTTAAATATTTATTTAGACTATTATATTTTGTAACAATTTATCCTCAAAACATCGTATCTATTAGTTTGTTATTTACCAAGAGACTTATTTATGACCAATGCACTTTCTTCTTTCATTTTGTGTAGTCTACACGACGTGTATTTTGAATTACTCCCCTTTTTGTCGCCTGCATGATTAATAAACAGATCTTGGTACTATATGATTAACAAACACACCGCTAGTATATTGGAATTGTCGAACTATTAAAAAAAATTAAAAGATAGAATTTAAGAAGGATTCTCTTAATTCTGTCAGGAACAAAAAAAAGGTTTTGGCTTCGTTGTACAGTGTGATAGGGAAACGCATACAGGTAATACACTCGGGTAACATCCTGAGTATATAGGTAGTATACACAACCCAGCGTCGTTCCCTCGGGGCTTCTAAGCCGCTTCGATTAAGCTCCACCCCACACCAAACTTACCTGAGGAAAACCGTACGGTTGAAAACCTCGGTCTTTAAGAGAAAATTGTATAATATACATGTATATCCTTAGTACATACCCAATTTTTTCTCCATGACATGGTAGGCTGTCATGACGTACTTGCTGCCCACTCTAAATCCTGTTCCCACATCATAAACATCACCACCTTTAGTAAATTGTATGCGGCCTACCCGTTTTTCTATTTCGTATTTCCCTATGATCTGGGTATGCACCAATGGATAAGAATCATCTCGATCCTTTCGGAAAGGCTCACCACGCTGTCGTTCTGATGAAAATTCATTTTCATTTAAATTCACATATTTAGTTCTTTTTGAATAGAATATATAAAAAGCTAAAAATAAAATCAGTATTGCTTTGTCACTGTCGTCTTAGAATCTATCTTTAAATACGTTACATTTCCAATTTAAATTGATATTTTATACTTATCAATGTAAACAAAACAAGAAGCCCATGGGCCTTTTAGGTCACCTGAGCATTATGCAACAACTTTCCAGTCATCGAATTTGATTCATGTTTTAAGCCAAATGCTATACGGTTCACAATTTTGAAAGAGGCACCATTGATCATCATAACAATACACTTAGTGGTTACCTAGTTTGTTTACTTAATACCCATAGGCAGGGTAGGGGGACCAAAAATGCATTTCAAGTAATCAGTAATATTCAGCAATAATCAGTTATGCCCCTATAGCACATGAATCACTGACCCTTAGGCCTAGATTCACACATTGCACATTTTTCTAAAAGGCACCCTTGCTTTTTCAAAAATATTTGATTAATAACAAGGTGCAGATCTCAAACAATTCATCCAGTTTTAGTATATAAGTACACCCCCCGCTATGGTATCCCTGACCCTGGGGCCTTGAAATACACAATTCTGGAAGATTAGGGCCCTTGCTCATCATAAGTATAAAGGTAGTTCATCTGCTTAATACCCAAGAGCAGAGAAAAAAACTTTTAAAGATTTAATGTATTTTCACTAAATAATCTATAGGGCCCCACCCTATCACCAGAACCCCTGACCCTGGGGCCATAAAATTCACAATTTTGGTAGCAGCACTCTTGCTCATCATAACTATGCACTTAGTTAGTTTGATTAAAACCCAGGAGCAAAGAAGAATATTTTCAGAGAATTCATGAATTTTCACTATATAATCTACAGAGTTCCGCCCTAACACCAGAACCCCTGATCCTAGGGCCATAAAATTCACTATTTTGGTAGAGGCACTCTTGCTCATCATAACTATGTATTTAGTTAGTTTATTTATTACTGGGGCTATGAATTTCACAATTTATTACCCAGGAGCAAAGATGAAGATTTTAAAAGAATTCATGAATTTTCACTATAATAATCAATAGAGCCCTGCCCTAGCACCAGAACCCCTGACCCTTGGGCCATACAATTAACAATTTCTGTAGAGGCACTCTTGCTTATCATAACTATGTACTTAGTTAGTTTATTTAATACCCAGGAGCAGAGAAGATTTTCAAAACAAGAGGCCCATGGGCCACATCGCTCACCTGAGAAGCTTTGACCATTCTGTTCTTTACTAGATTTCCCCCTTGTAATACATATTGTGACCACACCCTACCCTACTGATAATAATTTAGACAATTTGAAATCTACACTACCCAAGGATGCTTCCACATAAGTTTCAGCTTTTCTGGTCCAGTGGTTCTTGAGAAGAAGATTTTCAAAGATTTTTCCTATATATTTCAATGTTAAACTTTGATTCCCCATTGTGGCCCCGCCCAAGCCCCGGGGATCAGGATTTGAACAATTTACAATCTACACTACCTAAGGATGCTTCCACATAAGTTTCAGCTTTTCTGGCCCAGTGGTTCTTGAATAGAAGATTTTTTAATGACCCCACCCTATTTTTGTCTTTTCTTGATTATCTCCCCTTGTGAAGAGACTTGGCCCTTCATTTTAACAATTTAAATTCCCCTTCACCCAAGGATGCTTTGTACCAAGTTTGGTCGAAATTGGCCCAGTGCTTCTTAAGAAGAAGTCGAAAAAGTGAAAAGTTTATGGACGGACGGACAGCTAGACGGACGGACGACGAACAAATGTGATCAAAAAAGCTCACTTGTTCGGCTTAAGGTCATACGCAACGTAGTTTGAACTTTTTGGGGTTCTTCTCTGGAGTTGAAGAGTTCCACAAAATGAAAGACCCGTGTGCAATATTTTTAATGTCTATATATGGATTTGTACACCTCTTCTTAAACAATTTTTGATGAAAAAAAATCTGGAATTTATGTTTTATAATTTTTGTACATTTTTATTGGAATAATGCTAAATTTTTCAAAATTCGATATCTTTTCAAAACCCCCGGTAACGCATGCTGATTTTTTGTCTAAGAACATGTAATAATATTATAAGTTTAAATTTAGAATATCTTGGAAAATTATCAGTAGGTAAGGTACGTTGCGTGTGTCCTTAAGTGAGCTAAAAAACATAAATTTTCACTATAAACATGTAATCTATAGAGCCCACCCTAAAACCAGAACCTCTGACCCTGGGGCCAAAAATTCACAATTTTGGTAGAGGCACTCTTGCTCTTCATAACAATGCACTTAGTTAGTTTATTTTATTACCCAGGAGCAGAGAAGAAGATTTTCAAAGAATTCATGAATTTTCACTATATAATCTATAAAGCCACACCCTTAGACCAGAACCCCTGACCCTGGGGCTATAAAATTCATAATTTCTGTAGAGGCACTCTTGTTCATCATAACTATGTACTTAGTTAGTTTATTTAATACCCAGGAGCAGAGGAGAAGATTTTCAAAAATTCATGAATTTTCACTATATAATCTATAAAGCCCCACCCTATTACCAGAACCCCTGACTCTGGGGCCATAAAATTCACAATTTTGGTATAGGCACTCTTGCTTATCATAACTATGTACTTAGTTAGTTTATCTTATACCCAGTGAGAAAGAAGAAGATTTTCAAAAAATAAATGCATTTTCACTATATACTTATATCGCACCGCCCTAGCACTAGAACCCCTTACCCCCGGGCCATGAATTTCACAATTTTGGTAAAGGACTCAATGCTGATTACAATCATGCAAACAGTTTGACTGTTTGATGTCCAGGAGTAAAGAAGATTTTTAAATATTACATTAAAATTAGTGGTTTTTGCACCACCTCTAAGGCCCCAGGGGGGCAGGGATCATGAAATTCACAATTTTGTTCCCTTTCACCCATAGATGCATTGTGCCAAATTTGGTTGAAATTGGTTCAGTGGTTGCAGAGAAGAAGCTGAAAATGTTCAAATGTTAACGGACGATGCACGACGCACAGACGCACGACGACGGACAAAAACAGATAGCAATAGGTCACCTGAGTTTACTCAGGTGACCTAATAATATAAATTTATATATGAACAATTATCTTGATCCGAATCCATCACATACCATCACATCGAGTTGACAGCTGCGGATTTTTAGATCACGCTAAGTGTCTTATTTGATCTGATAGTGTGTGCCTGTCAACGAGACGTGACACGCCCCTTCGGATCAAGTTACAGTCATAATAAAAAATTAATTATATAACCCATAATAACTAGCTTGATATAGCAAGAATAAAAACAAAAGTATGATACATTTTGCCTATTGATGCGCAATAAAAAAAAACGTTCTGTTTCTGCGTACCATATCAGTTTCTTAGAGTGGTGATATGGATTTTGAAAACCAGAGAGTGGTGATCTCAAAAGTCTGGTCACAACGACACATATTTGCGTAGAATTAACAGCAAAACTAAGTGATACACAACAATTCTCATTTGAGGCTTATCTGTGGTCCCCGGATACTCATCAAATTTCGAACATTTATCAAAGGCTTTAAAAATGAAATATCATTATTAACTAGTGTCTTTATTATTTGAATCTTCATATAAAAATATCAATTGTTATACACAGCATACGAAGCTGCGTTTTGAGGTTGGGGTCCTTTGATTTTCATGTATCAAAAGAAATCATTGACAGGTACACACTTTCAAGCTTTCGTAAACACCGAGCACAGATTTGTTCAGAGTCGAGTTTGATATATAATGTGTATATTATATGTGTAAAGGTTGTGTAAAAATATCTTTGTTGAACAACTTTGTGCTCTATGCTTTTTAATTAAATGTATTGTGATTCTGAACCTCGTCGCTGTCTTTATTTACATGCGAGTAACCTCTTTATGACCTGTTTCGATTCACAATAAGCCACGTGGACTTGTGTCGTTACAGGTAAATGGCCACAGTAAACGTGCTGGCAAGCAGTCGGTTGAAATGTACTCAGTCGATCATATTTCGGTCAGCATATGGACTTGTTTGGTTAAGGTTTCGTCAAAGTTCAACATATCCAAAAATTTATTTTTACAATAGCCCCAAAACTATGTGAGGTATAAAGTTAAAACTTTTACAGTGTATAAATTTTCCATTGATTAACAGATAGAAAGTATCACTTGATAAAAAAATACTTGGAATAATATTAATTGAGAAAAATTCTTCTTAAAAATGCATGTATTTTCAAAAAAATACACCTAATTAATTCCGTGCTCCTAGTGAAAACCATCATTGCAGAAATAAAATATGTTTATCAATGAAGGGCAAGTTGGACTTGGATAGCCTCTGGAAAGTTGTTTTCCCTGTTTATTTTGTCCAAATGTTAAGACGTGAAAGTACATTGCAAATGGCAGATTCTATAGGGGTCTTGTCTTTGTACATGTCTTGCTTTCAATAACAGCCTTTCAGAGACCATTCACGTCCAACTTGCCCTTCAATAATAAACATATATTATACTTCTGCAATGATTGTTTTTTACAAAAAGGACAGAATTAAGCAGGTGCATTTTTCTTTAAATATGCACATTTTCTGATACAATTTTCTAAAAAAAACTATCTTTTTAAAAATATTTGTTATCAAGTGATACTTTCTATCTATTAATCAATGATATATTTATAAACTGTAAACGTTTTGACTTTATACCACACAAAGTTTTGGAGCTATTGTAAAAATAAGTTTTTAGACTTGTTGACCTTTGACGAAACCTTAATCTTGCTAAAGTTGTTCATTCACATTGCTGGAGTTTTGTGCATAGAAAATTGTATTTGTTGTTGATTGTGAATCTTGAACAAATAATTCGTCTCTGAAAGGAAAATTTTATATATCACGGGTATTCTTTTTTTAGAATCTAATCTGAATGTCTCCGCCCATTTACATGTAACATAAAAACCGTAGTCTGATGGAGGAGAAAAGATCCGGCATTTTT